TAGCGGGGGTGGGAACTATTTCTGGAATAAGTTTCGTGACAGTGCAGGCACGGCGGGTACACAGCGGGTGGTACTATGCCCTCTACTGTTCCTGATGTTAGACTCTAGAGCGGCTGCCCGCAATTTCTCTAGAACTATTCCGACATCCAGTGGCGTTTGATATGCTGATGACATCAAACTGTATGTGGTGTATGACTAATGAGAATAGTCGTAGAAATGCGGCAAGCGCTCAAATACCGTCTGTGGGGCGAATGTGGCGAATGGGCGAGTCTTTGGATATTGCCTCCTAAACCCTGAACAAATGCTTACTTCATGCACTATAGGGGAGGGGCTAACTGTCATGTTTTTGTCATGAACGTATGACCTCAACCAAGCAAGTAGTTTGCTATGAACGACGTGCCTCTCCAGTTTACTGAGCATTTTTCCGAAGTCACGGATCTAATTTCCCGACTTCCCTTACCTACACTATTCTATCGACCAGAGGCTGTTCACCTTGGAGACGTGATGCGGATATCGGTACGATGCAGCACAGATTAATAGCCTTCCCTGGTTTTTCAAGGGCCGTCCAGAGAACACGAGACATCACAGAAACTGCGATGCTTTACGGAAACAACGTCCCTGTCTACGGCTGAACCGATTCCAGGGAGTCCGTTCCTCAACTAGAGAAGAGAACTCTAGCTCGGTCTTTGAGCGACGTCACCAAGTTCGAATGCGTTAGCAAGTGGCTCAACGATCCACAATCTCTGTGTCTGCGTTAGGGAATATTAACCCTATTCCCTTCCGATATCCGAAAGATAAGAGACCTTCCCTCTCGATGATACAAGGCATAAGCCAGTATTTTAGAATCGACTGACCCACATACATCTACTGTTCACGTGGTACCCTTCTCTACTTCAGTCTTCAAGGATCGAACACTCCCACCGAGATCTGCACTGACGGAAGCTCCAGCTGGGTATACGCCTAAAGCCTTCGACGCAACCGCCACGACCCTCCTACTCGTTGCGGCCAGGCGCTAGACAACGCACAAGCCAGCAACGGCTGGGTATAGGTCTCTCGCTCAAGCCCCATCCATTCAGGGCTAGTTGGTTCGGCAGTTGAGTTGTTGCACACTCCTTAGCAGGTACCGACTTCCATGGCCACCGTCCTGCTGTCTATGTCAACCAACGCCTTTTACGGGTTCTCATAAGGGAAAAGTTAGGCACCTTAACCCAACATTTGGTTCATCCCACTGCGCCAGTTTTAGGTATCAAAAATGGCCCACTTGGAGCTCGCGTTCGTGTCAACAGTTCAACACAGAAACCGAGACAACATACCCATTGAAAGTTTGAGAATAGGTTGAGGTCGTTTCGACCCCAAGTCCTCTAATCATTCGCTTTACCGGATATACCCGCAATGAACTCCAGCTATCCTGGGGGAAACTTCGGAGGGAACCAGTTACTAGATGGTTCGATTAGTCTTTCGCCTTTATACCCATTCTATCGATCGATTTGCACGTCAGAACCGATACGGACTTCCACCAGAGTTTCCTCTGACTTCGTCCTGCTCAGGCATAGTTCACCATCTTTCGGGTCGCAACCTGTACGCTCTACCGCTGCCCATCTGCATGCAGACAAGACAGGGCCATGGTGCGCCACTTCGAAAAGTGGATCCCATGTCAGCCGGTTAACCGAGCGCGCTATGGCGTTCAAAATTGTCAGGCCACTGGGGGGGGTCGATAGCGGAAGCGAGTCCTGCATTCGTGGTAATAACGCAGGCTAGCTGCGTTGTTTCAATCGATACGCGAATGGACCGATCCATCGCTGAAGCAGTCCAATTTGTTGTGGTCACAATTGTGAACACGATTCTGCAAACTTCAAGAGCATGAGCATAGTTTGTGTTTTAATAATGCGTCAAAGCGCGTGATCATTAAGGTTTTCCTGAATCCCCCAGGTACCATACACATATGTACATGTGTGATAGTACACCAGCTCATTGATAAAGACGATGTTGAGAGGCGATATTCTTGCAAAGTATTCCATGTAAGTCTGTAAGGCTCAACGCAATGAGTAGCTATGTGGAACGTGTCGCATGAAACAATGCTGATAGCGCGCACTCCACGAGACGGCTCCATAGTCTCTCGACACCGGTCGAATGGTAGAGGCTTTAAGACGGGGGGTAGGTGACTGCACAGCCATCTCGGGACGACAGAAGTCGCAGACATACGATGTCCGTTGGTTTTCATGCGTGATCAAAGTAGACCCATTCATGGTGTGTTTCGACGAGTGATCCATTCTGCAAGGTTCACGCTAGGAAAAAATAGAAAGAAAGAAAAAAAAAACAAAGAAAGAAGAAAAAATAAAGGCGGATACCTGTGTTGACGCCGGGGAACTTTTACCGGTTCAAGCGCATGCGATTGAACTGTTTCCGCGCCAAATAGGAAAGGGCCGCGACGCGCGAGAGGGCCTCGATAGCAGGCAGGTCGCGCAGTCCTCGCGCGGAGAGCAGGCAGGTCAGCGAGTCCCGAGAGCAGCGGACGGGGCGGGTCGTGGTACAAAATGGCGGAGGGGGAGTACATCGAGCGTGTCAGCGTGATGACGTCACTAGCTTACCTGAGGAAGTTCCTCCGTGTGTCAAGGGAAAGTGAGATTACAGATGTCCCTACCTCCCGGTCACCGGAAGAGTTTCAACGGTTTACCCAATGCCTTTCGGCGATATGGATTAGCCGCCAAGCTGAATTCTTTCACATTGGTAGCGACGCGGTGCGCAGCCCCCGGAGCATCTAAGGGCTATCAGCGAGACCTGTTACGTGCGGAAATCTCCGGTGCGGTCTAAAGACAACGGGGCGGGGCCGGCTAGTCCTCTAAGAAGTAGAACTGGACGTAAAAATCCAGCACTATTTACAGGCTAGAGTCTCGCTCGTTTATCGGGAATAAACCAGACAAATCGCTCCACCAACTAAGAACGGCCATGCACCACCCACCAACACCAAATCGAGAAAGAGCTTTCAATCTGTCAATCCTTACGGTGTCCGGCCGGGGTGAGTTTTCCCGTGTTGAGTCAAATTAAGCCGCAAGGCTCCACTCCTGGTGGTGCCATTCGTCAATTTCTTTAAGTTTCAGCTTTGCAACCATACTACCCAGGAACCGAAAGACTTTCGTTTCCGGGAAGCTCCTCGACAAGGCAACAATACCCCATCGGATCGCTAGATGGCATAGTTTACGGTCAGAACTAGGGCGGTATCTAATCGCCTTCGAACCTCTACTTTCGTTCTGATTAATGAAAACATTCTTGCAAATGCTTTCGCTTAGGGCGTCCCCCTGCGGTCCACGAATTTCACCTCTCGCCAGGAGACGAATGCCCCGAATTGTCCCTCTTAACCATTATTTCAGTTTCCTGAACAATAAATAGAACCGAAGCCCTCTTTTATTATTCCATGATCGACCATTCAAGCAAACGCTTGTTCTGAGCACTCTAATTTATTCAAAGTAAACTCGCTAGCCATTAGCAGAAGCCGAAACCTCTGCAAAAAACCAGCAAATAGTTACAACAGCGATTAACGCCAAAGGCGAATCACTGCATGTAACTCAGATCCAACTACGAGCTTTTAACCGCAGCAATGACGATTTACACTAGTGGAGCTGGAATTACCGCGGCTGCTGGCACCAGACTTGCCCTCCACTTGATCCTCGAAAAAAGGTTTATGATCAACTCATTGAAATGACCGTTCCATAGGAATGGTCTTTTTATTTTTAGTCACTATCTCATCTCTTCAAGATTGGATAAGTTTCGCGCCTGCCTGCCTTCCTTGGATGTGGTAGCCGTTTCTAAGGCTCCTCTCCGGAGTCGAACCCTTATTCTCCGTTACCCGTAATAACCATGGTAGACTAATAGACTACCATCAGGTTGATAGGGCAGACACTTTTTCGGAATATCGGGCGACAAGCCGCGATATGCTGCGTTATTCAGAGTCAGCAAACAGCACCCGAAGTGATTGATTTGCTCTAATAATTGACCCTTTCGAAAGTCAGGGTTTATTTGCATGTATTAGCTCCAGAATTACCGCAGTTATCCAATAGGACTTTCCGAATAAATGACATCTGCTCTAATGAGCCGTTCGCAGTTTTCTCTAAAGATGAACTCGACATGCATGGCTTAATCTTTAACCTGAGCATATAGGCGCTACAGAATCAATCAGGTAAACGAACTCGCATATGATATTTCCCCATTCACGCTCGCCCGTGACTTCAGGATATTCGAGCGAGTTTGCATTTTCGCAACAGCTCCAACATTTGTCATATATTGGAAAATCAAATCTGCACATAAACGATACCCATGTTTATTCAATTGTGAACGTTGGGAACACCGAAACTCTTCATCGAAAAGTTTGCAGGTCGTCCCAATCACCGTCAGCATGTAGCCACAACAGCTGCTGGGAAATGTTCATCATGCCCACATCCATGTAACATCATATTGTCCCATTTCTATGTAAACATGCACCAATATCGCCTGTATAGTTATATCGTATAATAATGTTATAGTGTAATATATACTGTGACATATATACATACTTTTCCATATATGTCAAAAGACACGCAACCCGGGGGCCAGGGTGCGCGAGGGGCGGACAGTTTATAGGTGGAGGTATGACTTGTACGATTGACATGACGAGTGATAGCAGGTAGGGGGCTCTTATAAGTGTATATATTTGTTAGCCATGGGATCGTAGGGTAGTATACATGTATATCAGGTAGCATGTGAAAGTGTATATGCATAAGTATGATAGGTGCAGGCTGAATACATGGATAGCGAGTGGGTTTGCATGTGATGTATAAGCCATATATATAGATGTATACCATAGTGTAATGGTATGAAGCCGGGCCGGGCATAATATACTAGATGTAGTACATACCATATTTCCACCCCCCGCCGGGCACTAGCTGAACGCCCATGTTAGGCGGTTGGTGGTGCTGACTTTCTGCCGATACGCGCTCGGAGGCACCGGGCCTGGGTGTGGGGAGGGCCGAGCGGCGACAGCGAGCCGACGCTCGGCGCGCGGGTGAGCGGGGGGGTGGCGTCTCCCCCACATACATATGTACACATATGTATATATACAGACGATATTCTTCCACACCTCACAAAAGACATGTTTTAATCGCTGGAACTGAGAAATTCGTCTAAGTCCAGACTCACGAGAATTCGCACAAGTCCAGAAACATCGCGATTAAAACACGTCTTTCATATGGCTAAACAAAACACCCGATCAGAGGATAGTCTCAACAGATCGCAGTATACAAACACTGCTCTACTGGATACAACACCTTGACCAGTATACATGTCGTAGACATGTGATTTTGCGCCCCGACATTGAACCAGAGTGATCTGGCTTTGACAACCAGCAGGGATTATCCATACCGGCAAGGTCATTTACTAGGGCATAAGCTCTCATGTTGCCACGAGATAGAGTTGCCTCCCGACACCGGGAAACAAAGTTATCGCTGCCTTGACTAGGTGGGATTCTGACTTAGAGGCGTTCAGTCATAATCCCCCAGATGTTAGCTTCGGACCATTGACCGATCGGTCAAGTCCATGAACCAAATGTCTGAACCTGCTGTTCCTCTCGTACTAAGCAGGATTACTATCGCAACAATTAGTCAACAGTAGGGTAAAACTAACCTGTCTCACGACGGTCTAACCAGCTCACGTTCCCTATTAGTGGGTGAACAATCCAACGCTTGGCGAATTCTGCTTCGCAATGATAGGAAGAGCCGACATCGAAGGATCAAAAAGCAACGTCGCTATGGACGCTTGGCTGCCACAAGCCAGTTATCCCTGTGGTAACTTTTCTGACACCTCTTACCAGAAACTATCTGGATTAAAAGGATCGATAGGCCACGCTTTCGCGGTCTGTACTCGTACTGAAAGTCAAGATCAAGCGAGCTTTTGCCCTTTGTGCTCTACGAGAGGTTTCCGTCCTCTCTGAGCTAGCCTTAGGACACCTGCGTTACAGTTTGACAGATGTACCGCCCAGTCAAACTCCCGCGCTGACACTGTCTTCGGCGAGAGTCGCAATGCCACCAGGTGGCTTTGCTTAAGACAAAGAAAAAGAGCCGGAGCTCAATCCTCTCTCACCGAATAAGTAAAGAATCGATGAAAGTGGTGGTATTTCATTGGCGACCGAAATCTCCCACCTATGCTACACCTCTCATGACTCTTCACAATGTCAAACTAGAGTCAAGCTCAACAGGGTCTTCTTTCCCCGCTATTTTTGCCAAGCCCGTTCCCTTGGCTGTGGTTTCGCTAGATAGTAGTTAGGGACAGTGGGAATCTCGTTAATCCATTCA